ACGCGTGCCCGACGTCATCGCAGCCGCCGCAGCCTATCCCCGGGCTGCCGTACGGCAGCCCCGCGGCCCGCCTCCCGCCGTCCATTCTCCGGTCCGCGCTGCAGAAGTGCGTGCGACGCCGCCTGGCCCATCCCGCTGTGCGCGTCGCCGTGGCGCTGCTGAGGAAGACCCGCAGCTTGTTTGAGCTGGTGAGAAGGTTGACCATTATCGCACTGGAGGATGCAGTCCTGCACCGGCACTTTCCTGCGCTGGTTTGGATGCTCGCGGCATCATCGAAGGGTTTTGCCCCGACGTTTGATGATGTCAAGGCCGTCTTGCTGGTCGTGCAGGAGATCGCGGCGTGTAGGGTTCGAGATGTGGGGACGGCGGAGGAGGGGGAGGACACGGATGGGACAATGCCGCCGGCTCCGGCTGCCGTGGTCGTCAACCGTGAAAATACACGACATGCTACAGGTGCTCCAGAACGTGAAGGAAGTGAAGAGATTGAGACCCAACTGGAGGCGGAGTCGAAGGCTGCAGAGGAGCAAACAAGGCAAACTATGATGGAATCTATGCGCATCCGCGCTTGCTACGGAGGCATGCCGTTCGACCAGTCGCTTCTCCGTCGTTCCGTGATTGTATGGCAGCACCGGTTTTCCGCTGATGCGAAAGCCTGGGAGATTGTACTGACGGAAGCACATCACGTTGCGGATGAGGAAAAGCTGAGCGATGAGGCTTTGCGCGCGCTTCTGCACGAGGATGAACCGGTGCTGAGAGTTGGCGACATCCCTCCGGCAGCGTGGGACTTTCACTGTTGTGCCGTGGCAGATGACGTGACCAGGGAATTGCTCGGACTGGGCGGGCCTATTATTGAGCGCTTTCCGAGGGGGTTTGACGATGTGAAGCGCGGGCTGGAGAGCCTTATGTGGAGGTACAGGAGTGGGGTTAACGTGAAGAGGGCGTGGAAGGACCTAGACGGGGCAAGATTGGCGCTGGATGGAGCGTTTGGCAGGCAGGAAAATGGGGACGTGAGCAGCGATGAGGTGCTTTGGAAGACGGAGATTGAAGCGCTGGTGAACGCGTGGTGTCGGAAGCATCGGCGGCGGTATGGACTGTAGTGTTCTGCAAAACGGCATTTGATGGGCCGTTGTTTCCTGTACTTTCCTGCGTTATTGCGTTGCATCGCCATGCACTGGACGAAGGAGCTCGGTTACACAAGACGAAGGTGCGGCGCTATTCGGCAATGCGCTGTTGGGTCAAATAGTGCATGGCGTGCGAACTGTGTACTGCACTCTTGCTCTTCATGTTGTAGCACATGCCTTGTACTCACTCGCTGAAGTAACGAGAGTGCTGTAGAAGTGAGACTCGGCATAGATGCCTACGTATTTCGGGTTTGTGCAGAGCGCGCATGCACACGCTCTGTCTACTGTGGTGTAGTACGGACGTATTACGGCATCCGTACAGCGAAAACATGTTTTACTGCATGGGCGAATTATTATGTGTACGCGGCTGAGCGAGAGTAGTACGAAGGGTAGATAATCGTGGAAATCTCGCAGCACGGGAGCAGTTCCGTACGACAGAGGTATTACCGTACGAACGGATGAAACTGCTCCGAAGCGCCTGCCAAGCATTTATCCTGTGCGGCGAGGAACAGTTCCTTTCGCACCGCAAGACGCACGGCGCGATTGAGCGTGTGTGCCAGGCGCGGTCTCGAGACTTGTGGTGTGGACGGAGTAGATCTCCTCGTCATACAACCTCGCACGTACCACAGGCCGTGCGCAGTTGAAGGCAGATGAGTTGAAGGATGTTCTGTGGGGGCTCCTTCTGCGGAGAGAAGAGCACGACAGATGCGGCGGGTGACCGCCTTGGCTCTCACGCATTTCTCCCCTTCACTAACCGCTCCATGAGCTCTAATTACAGTTTTCCAGATTGGCATGTCCGGATACGCACCTGACATGTCAGCGCGCTCCGGTCTCCTCACGGCTTGCAACTTTCGCTCAGCGCTGACCGCATCGCGCGTCTCCACTTTCACGTCATCTGCTTGTGCAAGAGAGACAGCAAGCTGCAAGCAGCGCGTGTGCCTCGCTACTTTCATCGCCATCTGCCAGGGGTGAGGAGCAACTGCGCTCTTCTTTGATGCCGCCGAGTCCTGCTCCCCCCCGCGCGAAGGGCAGTGATTTACCGTCTGTACCCTAACTTGACTTCTTCGCCTCCGACCTGGTCTCCATCGGGCAACGATTGTATGACGCCATTGTTTCGCGGAGGCTGAGATGAAACCTGTTCAACGCGCACTACTGTAGTGTAATTGTCTCCGCATCGCCGATCCATCCTTGCGGGAATCGCCATGAGACGAAGCGCGCCTCACGGCAGGCTGTAGGGCAGGAGCAGGGCAGATTCCACGGAATCAGCATATTTTTTGCGCCCCTTACCCGTACAAACCGACTATCGTCATTCACTCTCGGAGTCGCTCGGGTCACAGGCCTCTGAGGCAGCCTCGA